TCACAATTATGAGCTGGTCTGTTAGCCTTTCCTGCTTCTAAGCTGTAAGGCTTGGGGTAAAGTGTCTGGGTGACTGCTTAGAACAAGTAGATAGCCATCCGCTGCTTCTTCTTTTTCAGTAGACGAAAGGTTCACCATTAGATATGTGGTTCCACTTTGTCTTTACGCGACACCTGATAGGAAGCCTAACTACCGAAGCTGGACTATGTTCAACTTTCGCGGTAACAGAACCGATGTCTGTAAAGCAATATACCTAAGCATGCTTACTACTATGAAATAAGTAGGCATATAAATAGAGCCGCGGGTTTTATACCCAAGCTATTTTTACCGTAGAGAATACTGGCATAGATCTTTTGGGTAGGCTTAAGTTAACCTCCTTCATTTTCGCTTATTGCCCATCACGCCTCCCTTAGGTGGCATTATTTAGATTCCCCTTCTGCTTAGGGTGTAACCATGGTTAATGTTTAGAGTTAAAGGTCAAGGTTAGAATTAAGGGTCAAGATTAAAGGTCAGGGATACAGTCCCGAGTTTCAGGTCAGGGTTTAGTGACTAGGCAACCGACGTTGTAAACTTGAATTAAATCTTCAGCCACGGCCATCACGAGAGTCGGATAACCTGAACATCTCTTAACATATACCAAAGTAACGTAACATTTTGCGCCTGCGTTTCAATTTTATTGGTATATTTAAGCAAGCTTATAGCGGAAACGTAATTTTTAACCTTTAACCTCCCCAAAACGGTGTTAATTCATTTTCTTTTAACGCTTCCATCAAGCCGTTTTTACCACTATTCCAGTATTGCAGCCGTCTTTGCAGTCATTTGGATTGGCGTTCTACTTAGGTTTAGATATTAGTGCAAAGGCTATGGTTTAGATTTTGGTGAAATGTTGATAATTATTGTAAGCATACGGATGGTCGCTACAAACTATAAATAACGCGCAATCTGTGCATGTATCACCCCAACCTGCGCATGTCTCACACCATTATAGGTTTACCTATAATTAAGGATTCTCGACAGAATCTGAAAGGTCGGGAAAATAAAATTCTTGTTCCAGTGTTCGCATCTTCGTCTTCTTAACTGCTTCCTTTAACTCACATATTTGCTTCTATGGCAATTCGAGTAAAAACGAATCAAATGGTACAGATCACACCAAAATCCCCCATGGATACTGAAATCACGGAAGATTGGGACGCAGACTGAAGGGCAATCGTCGCAGAAAGTACAGTCCCCAGCGATGAAGAAGAGCACTACTTATTATAGTAGCATGTGGCCGTATGGCAACTGCGTGCTTGTGCCAGTACTATACTTTTTGGTGACTTGTCACACCAGTAAACCACTTGACCCAGAGATCGCACCTTATTTTATGCTGAAGGTAAGGAGCGTAAGCAGTTAAGCAAACTTTAACAAACACATACCGAGGTAACATTGCAGCGATGAGCATTTCAGTTTTCTCTTTCTCCTCCTGCAGATCTCTTGTCCTATCTGCCACCTGGGCTTCAAGTTCCGCCGAGTATTCTTCCATGACCTTGGTTATGTGGTCCACGAGGTCCAAGTTTCTGGAAGCAGAACGTGGAGTTATTTATTTTTGTTGTGAACGTAATCGAGCAGTGTCCGGCATGGGAATAGACAATCACGAAAACTAAAGTACATAACTGAACTAAAACGTGCAGGTTTCTGGAAATAAAAAGCAAAGCTCATTTTTATCAATGCTCACGTGGGTGCGAAAAGGGTTGGCAGAAAATGATCTGTCTTTAAATAGTTATTCCAACAAAAAACGCAGACTAATAAAAGGAAAAATACCCTTATATAGGTTGACTTTAATCGAACACCAAGGCATATGCTAAAAGAGTTCATGAAGGCATATTAGACTATGAAGCTTCGGGTGAAGGCTCAACTCACCTGCCTTGTACAATCTGCTCTAAGGATTTACTAATTTCATGGAATGTTGGTCGTATTGCCGGATTTTCTGACCAGGCATATCGTACTGTGCGCAGTAAAATTGGAGATGCTTCAGCTTCAGCTTCAGACATCTAAAATAGACACAAATTTGAAGGAAGGAGTGCACTTTCGAGGTCGATTGAATCCACGTTAGTAAATCCTGAAAGGAATGTATGCACTCAATAAAAAGGTCGTCTGTCTCTATTCGTGTGCCTGTTTTCGGTAAACATTAGCAGTTAGTCAGATAAGAAGTCAATTACTCCCAACAGTTGTTGATTTTTTCGGGTTTAGCCTGCAAGAAAATTTATCGGAAATTTTCTTTTACCAAGGATGTGAGTGCAGGTTGCACAATGTAATTTCTGACGACTGGTAGTTGTGCATTTGTTAACGATAAACGTTCCTACTATCTTAATGGTTTGGCCCTTACAGCATTGTCAACATATGTGCGATAATTCATTTCACCTCCCTAAAAATTATTTGCGAATTTAGGTAAATAAATTCACGGTCGAAAGGAAATAAGACCTTATTAAAATGAGTTCAATGATAATACTATTTTTGCCATTTCGTTTTCATTCCTTCTGATGAAGCGGAATTTTTTAAATTATTTGACGGAAACACCCTCATTAAATAGAAT